AACCAATGGGAAGGGATGGGGTGGGGATCACAATGGAGATGGGACCCCGAGAGAACCTGTCAAATCGCTGAGGTCAGGAGCCACGAGGGAGCCAGGGAGAAGGGATGGGGCGAAAGTCACAAGCTATGCAATAGGCGGGGCCCAAGGGACAAGTAGATTGTGAAGCAGGTCTACAGGTGAAGTAGAGGGAGGGGCCAACAGTGGGACCTGACCAACCACGAGGGAGCTTGGGAGGACCCAACCATACCCTCTACCTGAGATTTCAGTTAAGAGCACTGCTGCTCTTCCAAAGGATCTGAATTCAATTCCTAACACTGACACGGAGGCTGAAAGCCATCTGTAACTCCAGTCCCAGGGGGTCCCACCTTCTCTTAGAGCCTCTGTTTTGGCCTCCAAAGGTACCAAGCATGCATGGTGCACAGATATACCTTTTTAAGTTATTGCGTGTGCAAAAGGGCTCGAGTGTCACGGCACAGGTGTGGGGCGGTCGTAGACCAACTTTGTGCGGTCAGTTCTCTCCTTTTGTTTTTACATGAATTTTTAATTCTTCCCAGACTGCAATCCTAATGCTTGAGATTCCCTGGTGCTGCAATCACGCCACTCAAGCCTTGTTTTTACTTTACAGAAGGCCTGCGCAAGTGGATGGTGCAGCACGGCGGGGATGGCTGGGTGGTAGAGAAGAACAAGAAAACTGTGCCCGGGGCCCCCTCACAGACCTGCTTCGTGACTTCCTTCAGGTGAAAGCCCCATCCCCAAGGGCCAGAGCCCTTGCTGAGAAAGGCCCTGCCTGTTCTCACGACCCCTCTCCCACCTTCTTTCTAGCTGGTGTCGCAAGAAACAGGTCGTGGACTTGGAGGAGAAGGGTCTGTGGCCAGAGCTGCTGGACAGTGGTGGTGTGGAGATTGCTTTCTCTGACTGGTGAGTGTGTGGCCAGGAAAAGGTCATTTGCCATAAACACTGGGGCCATGGCACACTCTTGTAATCCCAGCAGTTGGGACACTGAGGCAAAACGTGGTGAATCCCAGGATGGCATAGATGAGCTTAAGACCTGCATTGGCTATGTTGCAACATCTAAAAAAAGGAAAAAAAAAAGCTGAAATAAAATGAGTTCCCATGAAACACAGCTAGGGCTTTGTAAGTGTGAGACTGTGGGCACATTTTTGGAACCTTGATCACAAGCCTCCCTCTTTGGAGTCAAGTGTTACCAGCTGGATAGTAATGTGTATCAAGATGTCTGGAACAGTACCAGCTCCCCCGTAAGGTTTTTATTGGGGCTTCATGGAATGTCTGACCGACTGGCTGCTTGCCCAGGTGGTTAACCACAGCCTCCAGGTGAACTGGCGTTAACTCATAGCCCTAAGTTGCATCAAGGATCTTTCTGAAGCAGCCAGCTCCCGTCTAAGCCTCTCTGTGGGCGTGGCCAGCCATGTCCTCAGTCTGGTAGACTATTTGGTATGACTGGAGGCTCCAACAAAGACAATGTCCTGGCAGTCATGGCTCCTCAAAGGCCCAGAGATCATCTCTCCAAGATCATTGTTTTGGGGCAAAGACAGGAACAGAAGTGGGGATCAAACCCACGGTCCATGGTCTCATGCGTGCCAGGAAAAACCTCCAACGCTAAGACACACACACACACACATATGCCAGGTCTCTTTTTAGTTTGATTTTAAGGTAGAGTCTCACCAAGTTGCCCAGGCTGGCCTTGTCCTGAAGGTATTCCCATGTTAGCCTCTATAAGAACAGGAGTTACTTGCCTGAGCTAGCAGGCCCATCTCATAAGATCTGGGGCTGATTTAGTATGTGTGCCTGTGGTGGAGGGGAGAGGTCAGCCTACTGTCATTCCTCAGGAGCAGTCCACTTGTTTTTGCCCTCCCAGTACTGGGATTATAAACATGTATAGCTGTGCCCAAGTCACAAAGATCCCCAGAGACCACCAGGAAGACAGACCCACCAAACTGCAAATGCAAGGTTTTATTGATTGTTCATCCAACCATGGCAGGGACCCTGTCTAGCAAGCTGATGCAGCAGTCCCCAGAGGGAGCAAAGTTCCCTGTCTACTGCTAGGTTTTAAAGACAAAAGCCACAGGATTACATCAGTAGGTACGGATTGATTTCTGATTGGTTGACATTTGGGAACAATTAGGAGAGTTTCTCAAAGTCATATTTTGGCATGAAATACCTGTGTACCAATTATTCTCATTGGTCAGTGCTGAGAGGGAACATTCTGTGGTTTCGATTGCTTTGACTTGTTACTTGCAGGTGGCCTGTTGTTCATAGATACCAATAGTTTTCAGAACTGTATTCTGGAGACTACAGGGGAGGTTTTGATCTCCCCTGGAGTTTCTTTTGTGGCCAAACAGTTCCCAGGAAGCAAATATCTAGGAGGCTAGGGAGGGTCTGGGGTTTCTTTGTGTTCAGTTTTGGCCCTAGGCTCCGGGAGGCCAGAGGATCTGGAGTTTCCCTGTGTTAGAGGCCTACGTGTCTTTTATAGCTTATCATGGCTACTAAAGCAGGGCCTGAGTGAGGGTCTGGTCCCTTTATTTCTACATTATTAGAAGTGAAGCCTTTGAATTTAGTTTAGCCCTTTCATTATCACTCTCCCTGGCTTTAGGTGGGGTTTTTTGTGAGGATTGCCAGCCAGCTCCCAAATAACCACACAGAAACTTAACACTAATTGTAAATGCTCAGCCAATAGCTTAGGCTTGTTAGTAACTAGCTCTTACACCTAAATTAACCCATATTTCTTATCTGAATTCTACCATGTGGCTCATGGCTTGTTACCTCATTTTCTACACATCTTGCTTCCTCTGCATCTGGCTAGGACACCTGAGACTCCACCCTTCCTCTTCCCAGTGTTCTCTCTGTCCCGACAACCCTGCCTAGCCCTGGGCCAGTCAGCTCTTTATTAACCAATAAGAGTAATACATATTTACAGTGAACAACAGGATTATTCCACAGCACCTGGCTTTTCGGCTTTTTATTTTCTTCTGAGACTAAGTATCCCTGGCTGACCTGGAACTCTCTGTAGGCCAGGCTGGCCTCAAACTCAACAGATATCCACTTGCCTCTGCCTCCAGGGAGTTTAAAGGCGTGTGCCTACATATCCATCAACACCTAGCTTTTTGTGTGGAGGGGATTTGAGACAGGGTTTCTCTGTGTAGCTCTGGCAGTCCTGGAGTTTGCTCTGCAGATCAGGTTGGTCTTGAACTTGGAGATCCACCTGCCTCTGCCTCCCAAGTGCTGGGATTAAGGGTGTGCACCATTACCGCCTGGTTTAACACCCAGCTCTTAATTGAGTCCTGGGATTCAAGCCCAGTTCCTTATCCTCGTGTGGCAAACACTTTACTGACTTAGCCATCTTGCCAGCCCCCAAAGACCCTTTTGAGGAACTTAATTAGTACCCACAGGGGGGCTAGACACCCACAAAGACAGGTGATACATTCAGATCCCCTTCCCACAGGTGGGGAGCCCGACATGACAGTGGCTGTAAGTACCGTCTCCTTGTCAAACTTCTTGACGCTCACCAGAATGTCCTCGATAAGTTCTCGGCTGTGCCGGACCCCATTGAACAATGGAACAACAATATCTACCTGCAGGTGAGGTCAGAGCGAAGATGAGCCACTCACTGGGTGCCCACTGGGGGAGGAAAGGGTAGTAGGGACTGTGGTTGTCTCATTACCCCAACCCCTAGTGCTGCTTGATCAATAGCAGTCATTTTACTATCTCTCTGTCTCGTGGGGGGGGGGGCGGGGGGGGGGGGCAAACTATGCCTGTCATGTGTGTGTGGAAGGCAGAGTGGTCAATGTTTTATGTCTTTCTATCACCCTCCACCTTAGTTTTTGACACAGTATCTCTCACTGAACGAGGACCTCACTGATTGGCTAAAGTGACTGGCCAGTGAGTTAGAGACGGAGCTGAGACAGCCAGCTTGCACATGGGTGCTGGGGAACTGAACCCAGGCCCTTTATCAACAGAACCATTTCCCTAGCCCTGCCCTGTCTTGTCACCCTGAGGCAGTATGTGGAGAAAGCTGGGCTGGGCAGTTCTGACTGCAGTCTCTCCCATTCCAACAAAGCTCTCAGACCATAGCACAAGCTGAAGGGCAGAGTGGTAGTGGTGGGTGACCATGACAACTGGCAGTCTGCAGGGCTGGGGCAACCATGATGTGAAGAATCACTGTTGACTTAGTTTCAGATCTCCTCCGTGAGATCTCTGGGCCAGTCAACACTGAAATTCCTCACATCGTGGCGGCCCCAGGGCAGGCCGACTTCTCCCATAGTGGGAAGAGCACCAGGAGATGTATAAGCTTCAGGTACTTGGCCTATTCTGACCTAGCTTGAAAAGTCTCTCCATAAGACTACTCAGCCTCACTATTTTTTATTTTTTTTTTTTTGAGACATGGTCTCACATAGCCCAGGCTGGTGTCAAACTCACTAAGTAGCCGAGGCTAGCCTTGAGCTCCTTCCATTTCCCAAACGCTGGGAATCATTGCAGATGTACACAGCCACACCCAGAATTTCTGCCACATTCTTGCTGATAAAACCTCTTTTATTTGGTTGGGATTTTTGTTTGTTTGTTTGTTTGTTTGTTTTGCTTTCTCTTTGCAACAGTTTCTTGCTATATATATCCCAACCGTTGTGGACCCCACTATGCAGCCTGGGCTGTCCTCTAACTTTCCATCCCCATGCCTCAGCCACCCAGCCTCTTGATGACAGAGGCCTGTCACCACACCTAGCCTTAGATTCCACCTGTTAATGACAACACGGCAAGATCTCAGAAGAAGACAGGGAGTAGACAGAGTAACACGACTGCCGTCTGGGTGAGCTCTGCCTGCTGGGAAGGGCTGTGACACAGACTGTCCCCTTCTACCTCCAGGTCACCCATGTGTTCTCCAATATCAGGAGGGGCGTCCGTTTCGTGTCTTTTGAACACTGGGGCCAGGACACGCAGTTCTGGGCTGGCCATTATGGGGCCAGAGTGACCAACTCCAGCGTGACCGTGCAAGTCTGTCAGTCCTAGGCGAAGGCCACCACCGTTTGTCGAGACAGCTGACTGTGCCTTCCAGGAGCTGGGGCTGTTGACTGGAATCCTTCATGAATCAAGCGCTGGTTCCCTCCTGGCACGTGTAACTCTAGGATCCGGTGGAGGGTCCTGCTTGGCCTTGTTCAGAGTCTTAAACACTGGAGTCCTGCACCAGATCTATCCATTGCTGCTCCTTGGGTAGAGCGAGGGTGCTGGCTGCCCGGGTGCATGCTCATCACAGGGAGGTCCTACGCTGCCTCTGTTTGAGTTTGGTCTCTCACTGCCCTTTCCTCAGTATTGGCCTCCCACCCTTTCCTGAGACAGGGTCTCAAGCATCCCAGCTGGCTAAAATCTAAGGATAACTTTAGCCTCCTGCCTTCGCCACTCAAGTGCTGGGATTACAGGCATGCACCAACCCACCCAGGTTTGTGAGGTGCTGGGGATGAGCCCAGGGCTTAGTGTAAGCCAGTCACGCTATCTACCAACTAAGCTGCATCCCCGGCATTGCCTTCTTGTCACCTCATTTCTGCCTCAGGGACTGCCTTTGTCCCTTCACTGAAGCCATCACTCATGTCTGAACTTACAGCTAGCAAAATTCCAACTCCCACGTGAACCCAAGCTCACGTGGGTATTCCCAGGTCTCCTCATTGAAGGGTATTATCTGCCCACAGATGGTCTCCAAACAATGAGGAAGTGCCTAGAGCCCCGGCCCTGATCCTCAGGGACCTCTGTAATTGTGTAATATTTAAAGTTATTTATCATTTTCTCAAACGGTGAGAGAATAATAATATACCTACCGGCAATATCTGTCTGCCAATTGCACTGTAATAAATTATTATTTTGCCTAAACTGGTTCATATCTTTTTCTGTGACTGTCTTGGTCTTTTTTTATGCTTTGTTTATTGCTATTGCTTGCTTTGTGACAGGGTCTCTATGTAGCCCTGGCTAACCTGGAACTCACTGTGTACATCAGGCTGGCCCCAAAGGCCTCCACCTGCCTCTGCTGCATGGACACGAGCACATATTTTCTGTGCTTGGTGGTGGTGCATTTTTGCCACAGGACACATGTAGAGATCAGAGGACAGCTTGAAGGAATCAGTTCTTTCCACCTTGTAGACCCCAGAGGCCTAGCTCAGACTATCTGGCTTAATGGCAAGTATCTTTACCCACACAGAGCCATGTTAGTCTAAACTATAATTCAAATGCGTTGAATTTAGTGTACCAGATGTCACAGTTTAACGACACTGTGCCCTGTGCTGTCTGTTGAGTGTAGGAGACTGTGGACTTGACCACTGTTAGCCAGGCATGTAAGGTCGAAAGTGTCCCCCCAAAATGGCAGTCCTAAACAGAAGTCCTCAACAAAACCACCGAACCAGATTACTCCATGGGTAGTTTATTGGAGATGAAACTGCCAAGGCTCTTCCCCTCCCAGGGCAGAGGTGGAAAAGTAAGCAGATTTTTTACGATAGCAAGGTGGCATCTCTGAGTTGATACAGGCTTTTCTAGATTGACCTAGAACTAGATGCCCTTGCCACAGGCAGACTTTTGAGGGAGGTGCCTGGCAAACAAGTCCACCTTTAGATTTCTCTTACCTGGTAATAATCTTTCTGTTTACCTGGTCAGAGTCCTTCTGTTTAGGACATTGTCACCAGCCCTGCCATTTGGGGAGGGGGGCACTTTGGACCTTACATGTCTGGCTAACAGTGATCAGGTCCACAGTCTCCTACACTCAACAGACAGCACCGGGCACGGTGTCACTAAGCTGTGAGATATGCTACACTAAATTCAATGCATTTGAATTATAGTTGAGATTACCATGGGTTTCCAGGGACAGTGGGGCTGTGGAGACAGCCTCGTCACAGTGTTTGAAGACCGCATGTTTTGGAGAATGTGGTTGAGGCAGCACCCAGTCAATAAGGCAGATGAGATGCCAGGCACAAGGGCTCTCAGCACTGCAGAGGGGAATTACCTGGAACTTAACCCCAGCGTTTAGAGGCAGGAGAATGAGAAGCAAGGTCTCTCCACTACATGAGACCCTGCCTCAAAAACAAAGATCTGAAGCATATCAAAACGTTTCAACCAGGGCGTGCAGGTCTCACCACCCAGCATGAGGAGAGGCTGTTGATCTCCAGTTGTTAGAAATAAGCTTGGGGTCACAACGTAGAGGAGCACAGCTCCAACTGAAGTGTCTGGACAGGCAAACTTTACTCTTGATCTAGAGTGTGTTGCGAAGGTGGGCACACAGACAGGAAGTACATCGGGTTTTATTCTAATTCGGATGGTGGCTGTGTCTTTCCCCCATTGGTCGAGTCCCACTCACCGTCTTAATTCAACTGGCTAGTGTGGAAAGAATTGGCACACAGAAAATGAGGGGACAGGGGTCACTGCTCCAAGAGGACAGGGGTCACTGCTCCAAGAGGACAGGGGTCACTGCTCCAAGAGGATAGGGGTCACTGCTCCAAGAGGACAGGGTCACTGCTCCAAGAGGACAGGGGTCACTGCTCCAAGGGGACAGGGTCACTGCTTCTGACCACTAGATCCCTGGAATTGAGCTGTGAGCTTTTTTGTGTAAACAAAGGTTTCACTGCGTGGCAAGATTAAAATATTAGCATAGAAGTCTTACAAGGAGTTGGGGGCATATTTCTGAGTTCCTTATCCTAAACACAAGTTTTATAGTACTTGATAGAAAAAGACTCATATTTGATATTTCTTGCACTGTGACCCAGGAAATAATAAAACATAGCCATCCCAAGTGTGGGCTTGGCATGGTGGCACACACAGGCATTTAATCCTAGCATGTGAGAGACAGAGACAGGTGGATCTCTGAGTTTTAGGCTAGCCAAGGTTACATACTGAGTCTTTGTCACCATCAACAAAAAAATATTTTTAAATCCAAATTTGACTTCTAATGAATGCATATTCTTTCTCCACCACCATCCAATCAAACTGAGGATGGCAAGCATAAGGAATAGCTTAGCAACCTAGGACTCTACTTGGCCTGGACTATACTACACTCTCCTTATCTAATGATGTAATTGGCAGCCTGTTGCCTTTACCTGCGTGTTCTATGCTCACACACCCATCTTGAAACAATGTACCTAGCTGTTTTGGAATCCCACCTGCATCTGGCTACATGAAAACCCCTCAGAAAAATGGGATAAATTCATCCCCAACTATCAAATCTAGTCAGACTTTATCCAGTTATACTCTCGTTATATTTGGGTGGAAGAATGGAAAAGTTGGTCCAGCCTGAACTAGTTTTGGTGTGTGTGAAATAAGATAGTTTGTCTTCAGGTAAACTCTTAGAATATCCTACTTACCGCCAGGTGGTAGTGGCACACACCTTTGATCCCAGCACTAGGGAAACAGAGGCAGGCAGATCTCTGTGAGTTCCAGACCAGCCTGGTGTAGAGAGTGAGTTCCAGGACAGTCAGAGCTACACAGAGAACTCAAAACAAAATAAAACAAAAATAATACCAAAAAAAAAAATCCAAAAGAATATCCTACTTACCATCCTAAGCTTGTAGAGGCCGGAGGACAGTTCTGAGTTGGCTTGCCCTAAAGCACCTACTTAGAGTCCCCCAGTGAGGGGCTGGGGTGTGGCTCAGTGGTAGAACCCCTGCCTAGAGTCCCCCAGTGAGGGGCTGGGGGTGTAGCTCAGTGGTAGAGCCCCTGCCTAGAATCTCTCAGTGAGGGGCTGGGGGCGGCGGGGGGGGGAGGGGGCTCAGGGGTAGAGCCCCTGCCTAGAATCCCCCAGTGAGGGGCTGGGGTGTGGCTCAGTGGTAGAGCCCCTGCCTAGAGTCCCCCAGTGAGGGGCTGGGGGGCTTGGCTCAGTGGTCCCTAGGTTGGATCCCAGCATTGTTTGGGGGGAGTGAAGCCTGATTAACTATGGTCTTCGCTGACAATGATGTGTAAGTGTGGGCCCAGTAACAGCACTAAATGTGACCTGCCAATGAGACATAGCAATAATGGGGACAGTTACTGGTGTGGCAGCAGGTGGGAACTTAGCACAAACCTGGAACTGCTCTAAAACAATAAAGGCTAACACAGGCAAAGCGCTTTTTCAGACAAAAACAAGTGTCCTGGGCGGGCGTCTGACTTTACCTGACTCATTAGCTAGTCCCATATGGCTTTTCAAGATTCCCAAAGTGAGTTTCCGAGTGGAGATTGTCTCTCTGGCCCCACAGACACTCCAGACCACAATCATAGTAAAAAGCCACTGTTTACAGAGACGTATACTTTCTACCTTTTAAAATGCAATGTTCTGGTTCCAGTGGGGGCAGAAAGCAAAGGTGGTTTTTATGCACGTTATAATTTCACAGCTTTCTCTGATCAGATGATCTCTAATGAGCATTGCAAATTTCCTTGTTAGTTGTTTGGTTGGTTGGTTGGTTTTTCAAGACAGGCTCCACCACTGAGCCACACCCCCCAGCCCCTCACTGGGGGATTCTAGGCAGGGGCTCTAGCACTGATGGAGACTCCCAGCCCCTCACTGGGGGATTCTAGGCAGGGGCTCTAGCACTGATGGAGACTCCCAGCCCCTCACTGGGGGATTCTAGGCAGGGGCTCTAGCACTGATGGAGACTCCCAGCCCCTCACTGGGGGATTCTAGGCAGGGGCTCTAGCACTGATGGAGACTCCCAGCCCCTCACTGGGGGATTCTAGGCAGGGCTCTAAGTCATAATCCCAGCCCCTGGCTGCTGAATTCTAGGTAAGAGTGCTTTTGTTAAATACCCAGTCTCTCACTGGTGCATTCTAGACCAGCACTCCACCCGTGATATACAACTTCAGCCCTTGGTGTTTTGAGAGGAGGTCCTACTAAGTGACTCAGGCTGACTTTGACATCCTAGTGCCCCAGCCTCCAAGTGCTTGGATTACAAGGATGTGCTACTGGACCTGGCTTTGGCCCTTCTCGCGCTTTCTAACTTGTCATTGTTGCCAACTCTACAGGTCTGAAGGTTGTGACACAGCACATCACAGGAATTCTGACACCTGAGCCACACCTGACAAACCACTCTGGAGCCCCCAGGGGCTTTTCTCAATTCTGTTGTGGTCTGTGACAGTGACCTCCTTCAGCCTGCTCCATGATGCCACTTTAGGAAGACATTTTGACTCCTGGGTGCAGCCGTTCCTGGGATTGACTGACATTTTTCAGGCTTCCGGCTGGATGCACGATGAAATGCAGTGTGGTGTAACACTGCTCTGAAACTGTTGAAAACCCGAGCTTCCACTGCGGCCCGTCCCTTGATACCATGTGAGTTCCTATCTAACTTAGAGAAACGTGCCTCCCACCCAAATGGTTTTTGTCTCTTTTGCACCCAACCCTTACAGGCAAAAAGCATAAATGAGAATATTGAAGTGATGGTTTGGAGACCCTGGGGAAACAGTTCCCTGGGGAAGAGCACCTGCTGCCTTTCCCGAGGACCTGAGTTTGCTTCCCAGCACCCACATCAGGTGGCCCACAATTACCTGTGTGTAACTCTAGCTCTAGGGGTTGGGACGCCCCCTTCTGGTGTTCATGGGTGGTGTCCCACACCCACCCAACCACATACACAAAAGAACAAACAAATCTTTTCCTTTTGAGTGATGGGATGAGGCAAAGGAGATCATGCATCGTTAAGAGCATTGTTCTCACAGAGGATCTGGGTTCTGGTCCCCGCACTCACACTGGGCAGCTTACAAGCTCCCGTAACCCCAGTTCCAGGAGATCTGGCGCCCTCTTCTGGCCTCCTCGGGCACTTGCACATACACATAGTGCACACATGCATTCGTTTAGTCACGCAAAATAAAGCAATAAAATATTTTTGAAATGATGGAGGGGGACCAGGCATACTGGTACACACCTGTAATCCCAGCACTTAAGTTATGGAAACAGGAGGATCGACAGCTTGCAGCTGGCCTCTACTATATAGAGATCTTGAGGCTAGCCTGGGATACCTGAAAATTATGACAACTTATTTTCCCCCACCTACCCTAAAAAATGAATAGGTAATTGGAACACAGTTCAGTGGTTGAACACCTGTCTAGAATCCCCTAGTGAGGGGCTGGGGCATGGCTCAATGGTAGAGCCCCTGCCTAGAATCCCCCAGTGATGGGTAGGGGCGTGGCTCAGTGGTAGAGCCCTGCCTAGAATCTCCCAGTGAGGGACTGGGGGTGTGGCTTAGTGGTAGAGCCCCTGCCTAGAATCCCCC